TATTATGTTTTCGTCTTGATTGCTCCACACTGTCTGCTTGATCACTAACTTCTCCAATCCTAACACCCATCTTTCTACCACCATTTTTCTTTCCCCTATTTCCAACTCCACAATTCTGCCCTGTGATTTCCCTATCTACCTTGTTTTCTCCTACAACCTCCACCGTGCAAGCAGAAGCCACCTCCTTATCACCATAAGCACGAAATGCACCTCCCACTCTCACCTTCTCAGTCACATCAACTAAAACCTTCTCCTTCCCTGCATTCTGTTTTTGTCCTGATTGCTCCGCATTCCAGCTATTTTTCTTCCCCCTATACCCAACTCTAAATTCCCCCCCTGCAATTTCCCTATCAATTTTCTTCCCCCTATACCCAACTCTAAATTCCCCCCCTGCAATTTCCATATCAACATTACTTTCTCCTACAACCTCCACCATGCAAACAGTAGCCACTTCTTCAACCTCCTGATTCCCGCTATTCCACTTACATTTACCCTTAGATGATTCTTTTCCACCCCTTCCCGCACTCACCACAGCCATCAATTCTTCCTCCTCCACATCAATCATCGTAACCTTAGCCATATCTCCTGATCCATCTCTTTCAACCCTAGCTCCCCTCTTCCTAAAACAGCCAATTTTCTCTTTTCCCCTTACTCTATCAACACCTTCTTCAACCACTGAACCATTCATCCTAACCTCCTTCAACTTGGGTTCCTTAGCAATCAACCCCACCTCACGCCAACCTTTCCCACTATGATTTTCACGCTTTTGCAGATTCTTACCAACTGAACCTCGACTATAAGCACACCCATTTACAATGCGATTTTCATGATTCCGAAGAACTGGGTATTTTTCCTTTTCCTCACTTTCCAGTTTCTCCTTTTCTTCCTGCTCCTTCCTTTCTTTCTCTTTAAGCCATCGTTCTTTCAGCTCAGCTATGGTAACGTAATTCGAAGGTAGAGAAGGGTACTTTACACGATCAATTCCAGCCATTGATGATCAAAACTCCCTGAGCAAAATCAACAAGAATATCGCTGAAGCTTCAAGCTCTTCACATGGTGGATGAAAACAAAAATGGCGAAAAAGCTGTTGAACTGTAGAATCACCTTAGAGTGTTTCTGCAATTTAACTGATGAAACTTTGTTTTTTTTTTCTTTTTCCGAAAAAGACGAACGAGACGTGACACGTTTGTATAAGAGGCGGAGTATATATAAATTACTTTACGATATATATGAATTACTTTTATAATAACCAGACGGCGGGATATATATATGTATACTAGGTTTTGTTAACATGACGGATATATATGTATTATTATTTTTTAAATATCGATGTTTAATGCTATATTTGAATTAGATTAAATGAATATTGAGATAGTAATGATGCTTTGAATTTGATAAGCTTTAAAATCGCAAAGTTAAAAGGTATATATTTGTCTTTTATTTAATATGTATACTAAATGTAAAGTTGTGTGTTAGTATGAGGCCGATCAAATTATATTAAAAGTGATCAAGATATTTTTCTATTTTAATTTGTGTAATATTTTATAATTATTTCTTTTAAAAAAATGACATTTTAACTATGTTAAGTTTATTTTTTTTTTTAAATATTGATTTGGGACTAAGGTATCAAGTAAAAACATTTTTCTTAAATAGACATTAATTAATGTTTCTAAAATACTTTCTACGTGAAGCAATCTTAAGAATATCTTTTACACGAAGAAGACATGTTAATGAAGATGTGATGCTTTTAACCTCTTATTCGTATTGATACTTTATTTTTATTTTTTTACTTCACGTGATACTCAGTATTTAATGTCAATACGGAAAATATCATGTATTAAAACTTTTCTCTTTTTGTATATACACATTTTGTTTATTCACTTCATGCGATACATATCTCTTGTTAGTTCCATTACAAATAATAAATAATATAAATTCTCTAATTCATTTTAATGATATATTTTTATACTAGATTCATTGCATATGTATACCTATTTTTGAGATTCTTATAATATTTATTTATATGATTCGAACTTTTATTAGTGTGATCGAGAATTTAGGCTGAAGTTTACGATAATTTATTTGGAAGTAGTTTTAAGAGCACATTCAAAGCAATAACATTAAAGTTCCTAAAATATGTATAATTTCAACATGAAGCAAATACGTCAATTAGAGGTTTGAAATTTCAAGAATACTTTTAAGATGAAGTAGTCATATTGATGAAGACATGTTTGTTTTTATTTGTTATTCATATTGATACTTTATTTTTGTTTTCTTACTTTACGTGATATTCATCATTTCATGTTAGTTTGTTATGAAAAAATATCATTTTTTTTAAAAAAAAATTCTCTTTTGGTATATCACTTATTTATTCACTTCATATGAATACTTATTTCTTGTTAGTTCCATTACAAAGATGATACCATTTGTTATACTTAAAAACTAACAATTTAAATTCTCCAATTTATATTAATGACATATTTTTTTATACTAGATTCACTGTACGTACTTGCACGTGCATATTTATTCTTGAGGTTCTTATAACCGTTAAATAATATTCAATCATATGTTTAGAACTTTCGTTAGTGTGATCAAGGATTTGGAATTGGAGTTTACGATAATTTGTTTGTAAGTAGTTTTAAAAGCATATTCAAAGCATAGACATTAAAGTTTCTAAAATACTTTCGACTTGAAGCAAATACATCAATAAAGAGGCTTGAAATTTCGAGAATACCTTTGACATGAAGTAGATCGATGAATGAAAATGTGTTTGTTGTTTAATCTTTTATTCGTTTGGATATTTTATTTTTATTTTTATTTTTCACTTCACGTGATACTCATCATTTCATGTTAATCCGTTATGGTAAAATATCGTTTCAAAAAAAAACTTTTTTCTTTTTGTGTATACATGCCCGCTTTGTTTTTCCACTTCACATGATATAGTTCCGTTACAAAGAGGATATCATTTGTTATACTTTAAAAAAAAAAGTAATTTAAATTCTCTAATTTATTTTGATGACATATTTTTAATAATAGAATTATCGCACATGTGTTGCACGTGTATGTCTATTCTTGAGATTCTTATATCCAATTATATCTTTCAAACTTTCGCATTAGTGTGGCCGAGAATTTGAAGCTAAAGTTTATGATAATTTATTTGTAAATAGTTATTTGTACCATAATGTATTCAGAATTTGCATGGTGATGGTTGTCTCGTCTCTTATCCGAATGAACAAATGAATGAATCTAATGAAAATTTCATTAGCTTCATGTAATGTACTTTTTCTTTAGATTCATTACTTTCAAACGTTATCAATCGTATCTCACCTAATATTTTTTTGTAAACGACATTTCTTGTATATGTCTCCATTTTTCCGGTCTGATTTTTTTTATCATAACCAATACTTTTGCCACGACTAATGAGATTCCTCTTAAAAGTGTTACGTGTAGTTGGTCATACGATAAAACATATTATGATAAATACAATTCAACATCTAAAGACCTTGTGCTTTATTTCTCGATCTCATTACAAAATATAGATGTTACATTGAAGATTACAGTAGAACAAGGTGTTAATAGGATCAACTTTGAGCTGAAAGAGAACTTTCATGGGCTTACATTTTTACAAAGGTGAAAGCATTTGACAATTGGGCTTCTACAAAATATTGAGCAACTTTCACATATAACAAATATAAAAATTAGGAAATTTTTTTAAAATGTCAATATTTTGACGTTTAATAGGACTCATAGTCAATACTATTAATATTTAGTAAAAATGTCAAAAAAGAAACAATTGTTAAAAACAGAAAGGAGAAATTAAGGGGAGAGAAAAATATTTAAAAGAAACAATTGCTTAAAAGTTTTATCAGTTACAAAAATTCAAAAACAAAGAACTAATTGACAATTTATCAAAATACACCAGCTTCCATCTCTTTCTTCTTCTTTCACTATGTTCTAAAAAACACGCCTATCACCGTTCTAAAAATTCAATTTTCATAAAAAAAAATTGAAGCAGTTTATTCTACTAAAGCATATTTTGACGTTATGAAATTATAGTTTATCTTTAAAAATGACTGAAATTTTATGAAGTTATCTGGCTATCATGTTAAGGTTATGTATCTTTTTTTAAGAAATTTTTCAGTATTTAGAATACAATACTCATGTATTCATGATATATGTATTCATCCATCTTACATATGTATTTTATTTTGCTTATTTTCAATATCACTTTGTATATCAAATAGTTTGTACTTAAATTTGATTATATACCTTAAAATTTGTATTTAGATTTGATTTCATATTCGTCTTAATGTATATTATAAAGTTTTGTATTTATATTTTGATTTCGTATTTATTCTCAACTATAAATAGCCAAAATACAGTTTATTTATATATTCATTATATGTGTATTCATCCAAATTGCATCAGTCAAATAGTTTTGTATTTTATTTTGCTCATTATATGTTTTTACGAACTAGTTTATTTTTGATTTCGTATATTCACAATTTTAAATAATCAAAATACAGGTTTGTATTTAGATTATCATTTTGTAAACATAAATTTGAATACAAACTACAGAACATTCAAAATACTTTCAAATACTTTGGCGAAACAACTCATACCTAAATGCTAATGTAGATTCTACTAAATTTGAAATATAAAAACAAATCATAAAAAAATTGACAAAAGTTATTTTAAATACTAAAAATCTGAAATACATAAATATTTGATGAGTAAGTTAACAAACTCACATAATTTTTTTTAAAAAATGACGAAAAATCCTCAATACATACAATCCGAAAATTCAACATAATGTGTGATTTTGAAAGTTCAACATATGAAGCGATTAACTATATGTCTCCACTAAATGGATCAAGTTAAGTTAGTCTACATCAAGCCTGCAAGAATTAGGGGCAGATCCAAGATTTATCACCAGAGTATGTTCAATATATGTAAATTGAAAATTGTGAAACTACAAGACGAGAGGTGAATTATGCTCGTATTTAATTCATTTATCGACTTAGAAAATTTTCAAACAACACAAGAAGTAAAACCCAAAAAGAAGTTCAAACATACACAAGAATAAATATGATTGAGAATCAATTTGATAGAAAAATAGGGTAACAAAAGGAAGTACATTCAAGCTAAATTATAACCTTTATTCATGAAAAAACTACATGATATATATATTGTTGGAATTTTTATGATTCTGTTGTTCTAACTGATGAATTCTTGTCGTGATCACCCTCGAGTTGGCTCAAGTTTCCTTTCTCCTTGATCAGTTGAACATGGTGATGCTTGCAATAGAGGCGCCCCTCGTGAGCAATATAGTTGGATGGGCTAATTACACAGCCTCCATGACTACATTTGAAGCAACTTTTGTGGTATGGTGTTCCATTCACAGATACCTAATAGACAGAGGCGAATCAAGAATTTAGATTTTCCTTATATGTATAGACATAGTTAAAGCTTAAAGCAATCCTTCTCCCAAATAGTGACAATATCAAATCACATTTCACGTTCAGACGTGGATTCAGAATTTGAAGTTTATGGATTCCTAGGATGACCTCAAGCTAATATACAATGATATAACTGCAATCATAGTCAAATATCTATAGATATTTAGTGAATTCTTAGGTTGTGCTTTAGATCCCATCGCTACTTACAGTCTAACCTCTCTATAACAACATCGTTTGTTCAAATACTATTTGGCTACTATAGCAAAATGTTGTTATGGATAAACATATAATATAACAAAATATGAATGCCGTCTCCACCGAAACTTGACTGCTATAGCAAAATGTTGTTATAAAGAAATGATTGTTGCTGAGAGTTAGTACCTTTTCTGTTGGATAGACAGTATTCTTGCAGCCAAAACATTTCTCCCTAGTTCCAACAAACATGCTTGAAACTTTTGCAGCATGTGGTTTCTGTTTCAAATATATTCAAAACATAGATTAGTTATTCAAAAATCAAAGATATGTCTGCTCAGACTCTTCAAAAATGTCAATAGATGTGTGTCAGGTCCTTCAGAAACAGTGTAATCTTGGATCTGATACAGGTGTGACAACATATTTGAAGAGTCCGAGCAATATAGATGTCAGTTACCTCATCTTTCTCTGGCTTCACAATTTTTGGTGTCCCTGGAATAGATTTTAATCTATTAGTAAATTTTTTGATTTACAAAATTTGATGATTTGAAATTAGGCACTTTTTTTTTTTGTACCTTCAAAGCTTTTATCAAGACTTCCAGTTCTTTTGAAGAGCTGATCAAAGTGAGGTCTACAGTATAAAACTCCCTCAAATGAATTGTAGTTGCTAAGCTGCAAATTAATGTATTAAACAAGATTAAAAAAAGAGTAATAATTAAGTTGGAATATTGGATTAACAAGTCTAATATCTATACTTTCTTCTATGCTATGTTTTATGTCATTGAAATCTAAAAAATGAGAAACCGCTATCCAATTGTGTGATATAGTGATCAATGTAATAGGTTAAAAATCACGAGGTCTCAGGTTTAAGCAGAGACAAAAGTTACGCAATGCTTTATTTTCAATTATCCAAGTCTTAGTGGATAGAATTTCACGATATATATGACAGTAGAAGATATTAGGTATTCTATAAAATTAATCGAGATACGTGTAAGCTGATTCAGATAAGGTTATCAAGAAAAAAATGAAAAAGTTATACACAATTGAGACATATTTTCAAATTCCAATGATGCAATTGGGCCTTTAAAGCTATTGGACATCAATGCTATCATAATGCGCCTTTTCATTGGGTGATTAAAATATAACTAAATGCCTTAAAATTTTACATAGTTCGTAAAACATCTAGCTTACTACTAATCTCCTATTTTTACGATCGAGGGGACTTTAATAACTATAGCATGCTAGAAACGGGAGAATCGAAATGGTTAGACCTATAACGCGAAATGCTCCTATCATCATAGTAGTGAAGAAAAAAAGAACAAACCTTGAGAGTACCCTTGCAGTGATGGCATCTAAAACAAGCTTTATGAAACACTCTATTGTCTGCAGTTAATTTATCAACCAAATACACTGTCTTTTCACATGCCATACATTTTTGTGTTGTTCCTGCAAAAGCCATTTGACAAGTTTTTAGGGTTATCAAGAAAGTTATCTTTTCTTGATTTTTGTAGCAAAAATGAGAATTGGGGCAAAGATAAAGAGATAAAAAAAGAAAATTGTGGTGAGTTAAAAGAGGAGCAATGTAACTTAACTAATTGAGATATGGACATTTGGCTGTCATTTTTGTCCCCACTATGAAGTCTCCAACTACCCCACTAAACACCTTTTTTTAATATAACATTCTTGAAATAACGGTAAAAGTTATCGTTGAGTGATTAGGATATAACGAGATAAGACTATGATAATATCTTTTTTAATTCGTCTTACATAGGCATGCAAAAAAATATTGTGTATTATGTATATAGAAAGAGATTAATGTGATTGATATTTTTTACATAACAAATGCTAAGGGGAATCTTTATGCACCAGATTTTCTTATATTGAGAGTAATGTTAGAAGATGTTAGCGATTGTCGAGTAAGATAATTGAGGCTTGTTCAAATGATCGAGTATTTTTATCATCAATCGATAGCTTAAGAATTCGAGTTACGTCGGAGGGTAAATTGAAAATGTTATTAATTTTCTTCAGAAAGGGTGGGAAAGAGTTGTCATAAAATGATAAAATATTTATAATTTCAAAGTATGATAAGATAAAATTGCATATAATAAACTGAAAGTAGTAACTAGTCATGATTGTTACTTGCATAGACATCAAAGTTTCACATGTTGTGTTTGAAGTCCAATTGTTAAAATTGCAACTTTAATTTTCTCTTCATAGTAAATATCACATGTATTAACTGAAATATCTTACTATCATTATCAACATTTTGGACCATTAAAAATGAAAAATAATTTGAAGATGGAATTTTTATTTTTCCAACTAATTTTCTTTTTGAATTATTAGGCTATTTAATTTTGGTTGGACCATATTCTTCTTGTATTAAAAATGAAAAAAAAAAAAAGCAAATTGTCAGGACCATCTGTAGGACAAATTTTCAAATTCAAATTCACACATCCAAAAAGGGCACATGTCCCACTATCATAAATTGAAATGTCACTATAATCTCTATCGCAAATTAATTGAAATTGGCTATATAAATATCATAAAGTAAAATTATTTGAAATGAAATGACTTTACTTTTTAACTTTATCTACGTTTTAGTCGTAAAGAATTCTTTACATTATTAAAATTTGGTGATACCATATTTTAGCCAATCAAGTGAGGAAAAAAATTAATATTAATTATATGATGAAAAGGACAAATTTTAAGGAGCAAATAATATCTTAAAGTAGTTATAAGTCATGATATTGAAGAAATAATTATTATTTATGCGATAATGTCACTATTATAGATCTCTTCATCTTTAATTTCAAAATCAATTTTAAAGATTGAATAATCAATGATTTATATATAAATATTTTAAAATAATATTTATTACTTATGTATAAAAAAAATCAAAATAACTTAGGCACGTTAGGTATACAATGTGCATCATTCACTACTTGTAAAAATGAAAGAAAAAAAAAGAGAAAAATAAAGAAAATGAGAAAAGGAATTGAAATTTCTTATATTTCTTATATTATATAATATATATAATATACTCTTTTTTTTTTATTGTATAAAGCATAATATAACTCCACAAGTTTATCTCTTTTTCTAATATTTATTTTGTCTTATTAGTCATATTAATAAGTTGTCCTGCTTTTTCCTATTTGAAAAAATAAAAATTGGTGAATAAAAGATGAAATAAGCTTTTAGAATTTTTATTTTATATAAATTTTTATAGTCTATATTAAAATTATTAAACTCAAATAAACTCGAACATGTATCACCGTCCATGGTAATGATATTAATTTATAATTAATAGACTACATGTCAATATTGTAGTGTATTTTTGACCATTTAAACTGCTCCTCCAAGAATATCACCTAAACTTTATTTTATAATATATTCGAACAGCTAGAAATATAAATTAAATAATTTCAACGTGCTACACTTATCTCTTTTACAAAATAATTTAATTAGTCAAACGATCAACAATATTCCAAAGAAGATTCAAAGAAATATTTTATAGCAAAATCAACAATTTTGGTCCTTCTAATTTGATAAATCCTTAATTTCAGTCCTTATTCTACTTAAAGCATATTTAATCTTTAATTAATTGATATATACACACACTTTTGATCTTTCTAGCTATGAATCATCATAAAAAATCAACGAATAAGTATCAAATCATTCGATTTTCAACGTAATAATTTACATGTATATTATTATTCCATATTTGAGTATATTATAATTCTATAAATCGTGTATTTCTTATAATTGAGATCATTTGGTTGGGGGATCAGTTAAATCATCGATTTTATCCTAATCAAACATGAGATGAACTCATTCTGAAATCAATTTCTGGATTAGTTATCCCTTATCTCAAATATATATATATATATATATATATATATATATATATATATATATATATATATATATATATATATATATATATATATGAAAAGTTCAAAGCCCTCACTTTTGATTTGACTATTTCTATATTCCCCCTCTTTTAGATCTAGTCTTCAAAATAAACTCTTATAAATAAGCTTATTGCACCCTCTATTTTTTCTTTAAAAGTCTCTAAATACAACACTAAAATTATCACTCCAAAACAAAAATCATCCAAAATCCCTAAAGGCTTTTTATGTTTTTTTTTTAAATAAATGTTTAATCATTTTATATGTGGAAGTGGAAATTATCATAATCAAGAAGGTGAAGATTATGATAGGGAAACATTATCAAGCCCTTGTTCAACTCCAAAAAAAATCATCAAAAAGAAGCAAAAATAGTACATACAATCCTTATGCTAATCGTGGCCTAGACAAATTTTCGAAACTCTTAGCCAATCTTGAAGACAAAAAACAAAAAATTTATTCAGAATCAAATGATATCTCTTTCGTACGATTTGTTTTCTCGAATTCAAATTCAATCAAGCCTATTGTTATCAGAGTGAAGGACAAAAACCAAACGTCGTCTAGTGACATTGATGATGACAAGCAAATGATCAAGAAGACTATGCAAGAGGTTTCATCAAATATTTCAGAAGAACGAAAAGTGGAATCTAAGAGAAGGAAATATTTTAGGAATTTGAGGTTAGCAAATTTGAAGAAGCCAACTTATTACTTGCCATTAGCTATAATCTTGATATTGGTTTTTTTAGCTGTTTACGGGAGGTGTTTTGCAATATTGTGTACATCAATTGGATGGTACGTTATTCCGATCATAAAAGCTAGCTCAAGAAGGACAAAGAGGAGGCATGTGAAAAAATTGAGTGAAGAAAATGTAACATTATGTGAAGGGCCAATATTTCCAAGAAGTGTAATGAATGGACCAAAAGATCATAAATTGGTTGCTAGGAAACATGTCCATATGTGACAGCAGCTAATGAAGATCATCATTTTTTAATTTATTTTTTGTGACTACAATTTTTTTTTATTGATTTGTAACTCTTGTAAATCCTTGATCATATTTTTACATGAAAAGAATTGCATTAATTGCCACATATAAAATGCTAGCTGGTTGAACAATATATTTGTATCAATATTAGCTTCATATGTGTTGAATGGATTTGAATTGTACTCATATTTTTTTGAAGTTCAAGGTACCCATGGTATGTTCTTTCCGTCTCTTTTTTAATATATATATATATATATATATTAAAAAAAAAATATTTTAATTTTACTTTATGAACTACAGTAATGGTAGAATATCTTATATAGACATCAAAAGGTATCCAATTGAAAAGCTCATAGATCATTGGCTACAAGTATTGGTGTCAAATATGGCCAAAATATTGATGGTTAGTTTGAAATTTTATGGGTTAGCACAAGATAATTTTATATTGGACTGATTTTAGCCAACCCAACATAATTTATTTTCAAAAGTAGTCGTTAAATTAGCCAAATAAAAGCCTAAAATGTATTGCATATTTAAGATATACTTCAATTTGGATTTAGTACTTGAAATTTACTTTGACCTTTTCTATGAGTTTGAGTTTTGCATATCGAATCGAATCTTGGATCAAGGTTGAGGCTCAGAAGACTTGAGTCCTAGTTTAAGGTTAGGGTTGGGCTCGAATCTCAGTTCTCCAAATCAAGATCGAGCCTCAGTTTGGGTCCGAGGTAAATGTCAGAGATTGGTCCAAGTCCCAGGTGCATGGTCGGGGGGGGGGGTAGATTCCTTGTAAAATTTACTGTTCGGGTCTTAAATGAGAATCAAGTCTCAAGTTAAGGTTCGTAATAAGTCCATAGTGTTGAATCTTAGGTTTTGGGTTAAGTTTGGGATGATGTTGGGTCCTAAGTTCCAAGTTAAGATTGGGTTTTGGGTCTCAGTTCTCGGGCTAGGGTCAGTGTTGCGTCTCGAGTCCAAGTTAGTGACAAGTTAAATCTCCAGTCAGGGTTGGTTCTCGAGTCTCGAGCTAGAACCAATATTGTGTCTTGAATTCTGGTCAAGTTAGATCTCGAGCTAAGGTTGGGTTTAGGATTAAGACCGAGGGTTAAAGAGGGGAGGGGGTGAACTTAAAGTTAGAGTCGAGGGTTGCGTCCTTGTAATGATAGAGTCTTAGTTAAAATGACATAATATGCCTAGTCAAACTAGACGTCAATAAAAACGTGTCATATATACATGTGTCATGTTCCGACTAGGGAAGAGCAATTTAGTAACCCCCTCTAAATTGTTTATCGATGATTAAAAATATTCATATTTCGGCAAGGGACGAAGCTACGTACGCCACATCAAAAAGGCAGAAAGACCTAATGGATTAAGTACAACAAATTTCTCTACAATCTAAGTTTCAAAACCCTTGATTTCAAACACAACTCAAGGTCAATCTTTGAACCCCTCGAATTCAGGTACAAATCGATACCAAGATCAAAAGTACTCAAAAAAGAAGAATCAAAGGTCTCATACAAAATGTAACATTCAATATACCGAAACAAAATAATATAATATTACGATACTATCCAATCTTAATTACTATTATCCGGACGCGAACTTTGTACTAATTTATAATATCATTTGTGAAACGTATTTTCGCTTTCGTAACAAGTACACACACCCAAAATAGATACTCTTATTCAAAAAAAAAAAAAAAAAGATTAAAGAAAAGGTGAATAGTACCTCTCCACGAAGGCATCTCGTCATCGTTTTGGCCTTTCTGCAAAATCCCTCTTTGTGCTTATCCATTTCTCACATTGGGTTTCATCGCCAGGCGCTAGGGCTGCACAAAAAAGGGGGCAAATCGAAAATCGAAGAACACCCACCAACTGTTTGAGGAAATGTTCAGAAGAAACAACAAAGGGCAAGATTGGTTTCATCACTAGATCATTCAATTTTCAGTTTTTTTTTTGGTTGAATCAGAGCTGATTTGGATAAGTATAGATAGTTTTTTTTGGGTGTTTGTGATTGGGGTAATTTAGAAAGGAGTAAATTGGTTGGGAAGGATGCGAGGACGATGTGGAAGGAGATCGGAGACAGAGAATTTGGCAAGCTTCGCCCTAATTTATTCAGCAATCGTATTAAGTCGGCTAGAATCGCTTCTATTCAACTCTCCAACTACAAAGATATCATTTCTCCTCACCGTGGCTCCGTCAACTCCCTTCAGGTCACATTTCATCTCCTTTCCTTTTGATGAACCGGATCTACATATGATTTGAAGTTAGTAGGTGAATGTTGTTACTGTATTTTCAGTTTTTGAAGTAGGGATTTGGATATGAACTTGAAGTTTATGATTAGAGTGAAGGTTGATTTGTGTTTGTTAGAAGTTTTGTACACAAAGGTTTGAAATCAAATTGTACTAGCATGAAAAATTACTAATTTTTGTTAAAACTATCATAACTTCTGTCTACTCTTATAGTTAGCGTTTAACCATAGATTTTGAAAATTTATCTTTAGTGAACGACCATGAAATTTGATCGGATTTTCAAAATCTGATCTTTAAGTAGTTTTAAGTTCCCAAAAGACCACTTTTTTGGGGTTTTTTGGGGACTTTGCTCACAAACTTGAATTTTTTTCAAGTAAAATGCGTGCCCAAACACAACTTGAAATTCCAAAAGTCACAAGTTGAGGAACTCAAATTTTGAAGTTTCTACTTTGAAACTATGGAGCGTAAAATCTTACCAAACGAGGGCACCTACATAAATTAACGATTAACAAAGGATTCCTATTTTCCGGTTCAACTTATATTTGGGTGTGTTTTATGAGATAAATTTTGAATTTTAGAAAATTTGAAATCACAAATTTGAAGTTGAAATTCTACCTTTTGAGGTGAATTGGGATTGAAATTGGAATTTAAAGTTGAAGTTTTGTTTCAAAATGTTATGAACAAATGTAGACTTAAAATCATGATTGCTTTGTCAAAAAAAAAACAAACTTGAAATCATGATTTGAAATCACGTCCAAACGACATGTAAAAGTTGGATAGAAATGGATGGTGTTTAACATGTTTTTAACGTCCCGAATTGAAGAGTGACCTATAAATTAAAACACACACATAGTTAAGTTTTTTCTTTGGAATTTATAAGATCATCACAGAGAATAAGTCTAATATGTTTAAGGTCGTGTTTCTAGTTAGGCAAGTTTCATTGCAATGTCAACCTTTTCCAACTTTTATGTCTTGTAAAAAAAACTTTTCTAACTTCTATGACTGTCATTAACTCCGAGTGTTCCATATTGAAATGTTGATAAATCAACTATTGTAACTCATCCCCATGTGCTATCCTCCGCGTAATTCATACATGGTACAGATTTTAGTTTCAAAGAATGGGATTAAAGAGATCATATAGAGGCTGATGATTCAAATAACTGAACCTGAGTATTTTTTTATTGAGGTGGTTGAATTGATTGGCATTAGCTCCAAGAAAATTCTAAGCTAATAGAATGTAGTGGTCCACATAAAGCATAAATTTAAAATTAAGCTTAATGGAAGTTGATACTGTGCTGTTTCCGAGTATCTCTATTTTGCTTCAAACCATTAACTCCCTTATATATTTGGTGCCTTATAGTGTGCATGTTGCTTGCATTCGTGTCAATTGCATCTTCATACCTTACAAAGAAACGCGAGATGAGAATACTCTTTCTGCCCCTTGGTCATTTCGAACATGTTTACTTAAATATTAATATTCAAACTCCGCTTGAAAAACTTGGTGATACGTGCTTCATGGAAATAATGGTTAACCCATAGAATGACAGAAATGTAAAAGTGAACTGGGACTCACTTTTGGAGAAGCAATTCAGACAAATGTAATACTACAGAAAAGGATTGTGGATATGGTAATCTTGGTCTCAATTGCACACAGTTTTTTTCTCTCGAGAAAGTCAGATTATGAGCTTGGTTTGGTGCCTGTCAGGAAGTTAAGGCTTTAGCTATCAGTCTCTAAGTTGCTCGGACTCTGGTGCGGGCACCCAATAAAAGGTATTTCATTTTCTTCCATTTCACCTTAGGTTTTGTTTTGATTATAAAAATAGTTGAATCTGTCCAAAATTTCTCCCTCAAATTTGGTCAAAGTATCCAAAAAACCTGTTGAGCAGTCGGGGAAGGATCCCACACCCACATCGTGTCAACACAGGTGCAGCACCAAAAGTGAAGAGTCCGAGCAACTTAGATTATTCAGAGCAGTTAGATTATTCAGAGTAGTACATGAAACTAAAGTTTGAATTCTTTTTAGTTATCTTCATTTATCTTTATGTTTATTTTAGATAATTTTGCCAGATTATATCTGGTTGAGGTATGTAGATGGAACTTGCATTATTTTAAAAGTACCTTTGTGTACATTTATTGTGATCACAAAATCAGGTTGATTTGACAGAGGGACGATATCTGTTATCCTCTGCTTCGGATGCATCAGTTGCTGTTTATGATGTCCAACGTGCAACTGATTACGATGAGAGTGGTCTGATTGCAAAGCATAAACACATACTTTTGGTTGACAAGCAACATGAGCAGGGCCACAAATATGCCATTTCCACAGCCAACTGGTATCCAATTGACACGGGACTTTTTATTACAGGCTCTTATGATCATTATGTTAATGTCTGGGATACTAATACAACACAGGTAGTGTTGCTTTCTGACCATCTTATTATACTCCACTGAAGTGTAGTTTTTCTGCTTATTTTCTTTTTATTGAACAAGTCTTGCCTAATTTTGGATTTCCTCAATTGTCCTTTAGGTGGTAGTCAATTTCAAAATGCCTGGGAAAGTGTACAATACTGCCATGTCTCCGGTGGCAACATCACACATGTTAATTGCTGCTGGAACTGAAGATGTTCAAGTTCGTCTTTGTGATATTTCTTCGGGTGCATTTGCTCATACATTATCTGGCCATCGTGGTAAGCTGATATCTATTATTGACATTAATAAAGTATAAAGTTTTGCTATGCTGTACCTTTTAGATCTACCAGACATGGTGTTTATCCCCTGGGGAGTGATTCTCGAAATCTTTATGTCGTTTTTGGAAGTTATCTTTGGGTTCAAACCTTACTGCTGACGAACATGTTGTATTTAAGTGGAGAAGGGTAGAGAGGCAGGTCCAATATATTCTCTATCAAACTAACTATTCAACCATTACTTCAATATTTTCTTCTGCTACCATTGTACAATCCTCAAGTCAAATTAACTTATTAAACTTGCGTGTCTCATCAAACACCTTTAGGAAAAATGAACAGAGTTTCCATTTTCAACCTTCCCAAATCAATGGACCGTTCCTACAGAGTCATAATTTTATTATTTCTCGTTCAAGAATTTTGTGAGTATCACGACTAGTTCAGAAGCCTTAGATGTTTTTCTCTCTTGGGTAATGGCAGATGGAGTAATGTCGGTTGAATGGTCTGCTTCTAGTGAGTGGGTTTTGATAACAGGGGGATGCGATGGCGCGATTCGCTTTTGGGACATCAGGCGTGCAGGATGTTTTCGTGTTTTGGATCAGTCTCATAATCAGCTTGGAAGACGCCCATCTCTTCTTACACGATCCACTGCAAGCAAGGTTACCTTCTGCCATTATGTATTATTTAGAATCATATTCGAAATTTTAATGGCACGTATTATACTTCTATTTCTCGATAAAATTAAGACAGATCATTGTTTGCTTTTGTTTGTGATAGTAAGCTGTTCATGGTCCAAATTTGATATTGACCCATTAAAACCTAATTATCTGATTCATTTGGGTGTGTACCATATCGGTTTCAAGTGAGTTCCTTTTTTAACTGGGCAGTGTTCTGAGAAGTGATGTTTTTCTCTATCTTCATATTGGTACCCTTTGGAGAAGAAAAGGGAGCAGATTATAAGTAGACTTGGTTTTATTGCAACTTTTTTGCCTTTTCTTTCTGAGAGCACAGAAACCACACAGTTGTCCTCTAGTTTTACAAGTAAGTCAAGTCCCATCTCGTTTTGCGTCAACGATCCTTCCCTATGTTTAATTTATGTGAGTTGATCCATTGAAAACCTTAATCAGGGTCGAATTGCTGATTCTGTTGATCTGAAGGTTTCTTTCACGCCTGTAATATATTCTATCTTCCTGCCCAGGGTTCCACACTGAAACCATCTTCCGGAGGCCCAAATTCATCTGCAAAAGGCCGTCCATCTCAGAAAAAAATGGGAAACAGTGCGAGTATCAAACACTCTGCAATTGCTAGACAAGTGAGGGGGTTTGGGAAGCAGCGACTGCATCCAGGGATGCTCTCTAGTCAGGATAGAGCCACTGCTCATTATGGTGCTGTCAATGGATTAAAAGTGACCAATGATGGAATGTATCTCCTTAGTGCAGGTTGACATCACAATTCTTTTCAATAAGCTATGTATTGCTACTGTTTGGAATTTGTTTATGCATTGTGATTAGTGTTCTCCACTCAAGAGGCTGAAAGTCTTGCGTCATTATTTCTGTTAGATGCATGTTACTTTTATCATTCTATAGTTGGTCAATGGTGAAGTGCAACTCTGGAATTTATACATCAGATTATGGTGCACTCTCTAATCTTATTTTGATATACCTCTCTAGCAAAGTCGTTTATTTTGGACACTGTTTTAAAAACACTGATGTAAGATGTCATTTGAACACTCTTCGATAGGACGTGATATGGGTAGAGTTATTCCCATGTGATTAATTGGCTACATAGTGGGAAAAAACCAGCAACTGAAGCATAATCATCTGGTCCTTTGGATTTCAGGTTCTGATTCTAGATTAAGGTTATGGGATATTGATACTGGTTGCAATACACTTGTGAACTTTGAAACATCACGACTCCAGGCCACAAAAGCTACACAGTTAGCCATATCTCATGATTCAACACTTGTATTTGTGCCATGCATGTCAACTACTAAGGTAAACATTGTTTCACCCCCCAATTTTTTTTAAGAAAATCAACTGCCACCACTCTGATATTATTATGCAACACTATTTTTCTTTAGTAACTTAATGTGGAAATCTTGTAGGCGTTTGATTTGTGGTCGGGCAAAAAGATGATGGATTTACGTGGCCACTATGAGAATGTGAACTGTTGTCTGTACAATTCACTGGACCAGGTACATAATTTTTTTTTTGCCTTCCCCTAGGTACATGTGTTTTTGGTTAAATAATGAATTCTGCATAATCTGTGACCTCGTGGACCTGAAGTATTTGAGTGGTAACATCTTTTTATAAACTAAAATACTTTAATTCATTGCATACTGGAAGTTTGTGTGAGAAAAAACATTAATCCAGTGGGGAACTCACCCACAGCTAGCTAGTACGTCATCCTAGTGCATCGATACACATAGGTTTTCTTTATTTATGCCAAAAAGTACATGAAACATAAAAGATCTCATAACAAGGACAACCTTGTTTCTATTGTTGACCTCACTCATATGATTCTCGTCAAAGTAAAAGCTTGACAAAGATGCTATCTTTTCATGGCGCACTATTGGCCAAACCACCTGGGCACTAGGTCCAATGTGAGTTGAATCACTTAGCCACGCCCCATAATAGAAAAACAAGCATGGTTTACGTTTACGTAGTGAAGTATTGAATCTCAAGGCTGCTTCATTTCGCTGTGATCTCATTGTAGATGGCACCCCCACCCCCATTCCCATCCTCCGACCTCTATTGAACTGCTCCATGTTAGCAATGAATTTTGAATGTGGGTATTTTCAGGAACTATTGACAGGTGGTAATGACAGGAAAATTCTTGTGTGGTCTCCAAGTAGAACCACTACTGAGGAATTGGTACGCGTTGTAAAACCATTAACATTTTTCATTTACTAGACACCCTTACCTTTATCTGAGGGTACCTGATCATTGGCCTCTTAAGACATTGTGTGTTATCTGGGCTTATATGTATGCAGGAAGGGAGGGAAGGGCAAGCTTTTGCGATCGACCAAGATAATTGGAGCGACTGAGTAGCTCACAAAATTTCGGAGGTTCCATGTCAAGTTCAACTCACAGTTTTCTTCATTCTACATTTGCTTGAACAACAAATATGTGTAATAATCTGGAATCTGATGTTGTACAACAATTTCCTATTTCTATTTGAAAATCCTCTCTATCCGCCTTAGGATGTATCCATTTCATTAAGTAATGTATTATTTGCAATGTACGTATTCCCTCCTGGATGCTAATGTATCATTGAACTGTATCATACAACCAAGAAATGTATTCGAGTAGGAAAGACATATCTTTAAACATTATTGGATTATATATAACATCGTAAGCATTACAATCAATCAAACGAGAGTTTTCTATATGTTTAGAAACTTTCTACTTATTCTCGAACATTTGATAAAACTTTTCATATGATATGTTTAAAATTACAAGATTAAAAGATATATTGATACATTTAAAAATTATTTAAATTTTATATCAAATCAAAATAAATCAAATAGGAAACAAAAAGGGTGCAAGATTTGTTTATTTGATTGGCTGTTTATGATAGGTAAGGGACTTTTTCATTATATCATATAATATAGTTTATTAACTATATGAGTGAAGTACAGGGTTTTGCGCCGGGGGTATGGGGTTAGGCGGTGATATGGAGATTCTTTTAAGTTTTTGTTTTGTTAGTTTTTTAATCGATGTTTAATATTTATAAAGGAGTTTGATTAGATTCAAATTTATATCGAAAAGTTTATATTGGGGTAAAATATTTTTTGACAAAAGCAACTTCATATCAAAAGAACTCGAACATGAAACTTCTAATTAAGAATGAATAAATATTTACTGCTCCATCACAATCTTTATTGATGAAGATTATCCAACCTTATTATCGTATCATATCTTATTTTTATTTTATCCATTTTTAATTTCATGACCTGTTTTAAACAAATATTTGACACAGAGACTGAGAAATGGACATGGAAGTGTCACACGCTTGGACAAGAAACACACAACTTAAAAAAGGAAAAAAAGGACAGCCAGTGTCTTGATTAGTGTATCGTCCTTTTTATAAAATCTAACGTACGGTAGACATGTAATGCATTAATTAATAATATTTCTTTTTTTCTATTTGATATCTGATATTCACGTTATGATCTGATTAAATTCGAATGTGCATATCGAAGGATCAAACATTTTCCTACAATGAAAACTCCATACTCAAGGAAACTCGAACTCAAAAATTATATTCCATGCAGCGAAGAATTGAAACACGGAAAAGATCCTATTAGCATCGGGTATTTACATCAAGCTAAATCAATTTCTATTCTTACGTGATTTAATGAAATAAAATAAACTATAAATTTAAACATACGGCATGCATGTATTGGTTTGATGTAAACACCTGGTGCGAGTAAGTTTTAACCTTAAGACACCTATAATGTACATTTATAGTGTTCTGCTCGTGGTTAAGACGGATGAGAAAAATGGATATTTCACTTGTGCTTACTTTTGTTTTAGAACTCAGATTGTATTTACAATTGGTGCGATCAACTAAAGGGTTCCAAACATAAAACACGAGGTTGATTTAACGTCATACCTTTCCCTTAGAGTCTCCTTTTACGCGGGACTCACAATGAAACGATACACGAATTATGAATGTTGATTGGTCAAGATCACAGCTAAACACGGCTCAAACAAATTAAGGTATATTTGGATCTATTACGATAAGGATATATATGAGCTAAGCTACTAACGAATGAATTTATTTTATAATAGAAAGTAAAAAGAGTATCGAATAACGAATCTTCCACTCACGCGTTAAAAAGCCGCACGTGCTCTTCCTACTTGGATTCTGTACGGTCAACCACGTGTCCATCACTTTCCCCTAGGCGTTAATCCACGTGTACTCTTCTCTCCTTCTCTTATATCTTCCATTTCCATTTTCTTCAAATTCTTCTCAAAAAGCCCATTAACACACTCGGCCCAAATCAAACTCCAACAACCAAACGCCGTCGTTTCAGTTATCACCTCTCATTTTCCGATAACACCGGCAAACCTTTGAAAACTCGCCGGAGACGTTAAATACCTATTACCGGCGACGAAAAACAGTCGAGGAATTAAATTAGCTCATCATCTCCGACGACAATGGAAACAGAAGTTCAATCTAATTTCACTTATATGGGAAGAACATTTACCGGTCTCGGAATTAATGAATCTTCGTCTGCTTTCAGCGACTGCAATAGCGATAGATCCGGTGAGTTTCCGACGACTTCTTCTCAAAGCCGGCGGTTATTAATTGCGTGTGCGTCGGATAATTATAACTCCGATGAATTGATTCAACAACTTGTTTCCGATCTCGAATCGAATTCTATCGATGTGCAAAAACAAGCCGCAATGGAGATTAGGCTATTAGCGAAGAATAAACCGGAGAATCGTTTGAAAATTGCTAGAGCCGGAGCGATTAAGCCGTTAATTTCGCTTATCTCTTCCACTGATCTTCAGCTTCAAGAGTACGGTGTTACGGCGGTGCTGAATTTATCTCTCTGCGATGAAAACAAGGAGCTTATCGCAGAATCAGGAGCGATTAAACCGTTAGTTCGAGCTTTGAAAATTGGAAACTCAACTGCGAAAGAGAATTCCGCTTGTGCTCTGCTTCGATTATCGCAAATTGAAGAGAATAAAATCGCGATCGGAAGGTCCGGTGCGATACCTCCATTAGTGAACCTTCTAGAAGCCGGCAATTTCCGCGGGAAAAAGGACGCATCAACTGCTCTGTTTTGCCTATGTACGGTGAAGGAGAACAAAATTAGAGCGGTACAAGCCGGGGTTATGAAACCGTTAGTTGAATTAATGGCGGATTTCAGTTCAAATATGGTTGATAAATCCGCGTTTGTGATGAGCGTTTTGATATCAATGGTAGAAGCAAGGGCGGCGGTGGTGGAGGAAGGCGGAATACCGGTGCTGGTGGAGATCGTGGAGGTCGGGTCACAGCGGCAGAAGGAAATCGCGGCGGCGATATTGTTGCAACTGTGTGAAGATAGCGTTAGTTACCGTACAATGGTGGCTCGAGAAGGCGCAATTCCACCATTGGTTGCTTTGTCACAGTCTGGTACAAATCGCGCCAAACAAAAGGTAAAAATCAAAATATCTATAACTAAATTTTAATTTATTTTTACGTGACATAGCTTAACTCGATATAAAAATCATGTTACCAATCGTCGTCCTCAAATGTAAAGCAGGTAATTAAGCAAAAAGGTTTCATTAATCAATGAGTTAAAGCTAATTTATTAAGTAGTGTTCGCACAAAGCTTATATATAATTGGTAAAAGATAAGAACGCAGAAAGTATATTATAGTGATGTGATTTGGATATGGACAAACATAATTATGTTAGGTGGACAAACTACTCTATCTCTACTATAATATATTTGCCCTTAACAGAATCCAGATTTAAAATTTATAAATTTTAATCGAGTTCATATGATTAAATTTTATATATTGAATCAATTCTTAAGTCATTTGAATCTTTTAAAATATCCCACATCTAAAAAGTAATAGATGTCTTCTTATATGAACTTGGATAAATCTTAATTTTTTAGATTGAGTTAAGTGTAAACGTTATATCTTTTCATGATATCAGAGTTAAATTATTTGTACTTTATTATATTGAAATAGCATAAATTATTTGGAATAATATAAAAATATATAATTGTGCTATTTCATTTGGCTTCGATTAATATCTATGTTTTTATTTTAAATATGTATTAACACTAAAATTTGAACAAAATAAACATACATGTTTTATTTGACATATGTATGTATTTTATGTGTATTATGTCATGTAAAATACGTGTATATAGCTGACGTGTTTTGGTTGACAGGCGGAGACACTGATTGGTTTGTTACGGCAACCAAGATCCGGTAACGCCGCTGCAACAACACCAGGCAGAGGTTCTGATGTGTCGTTTTGATTGTCTGTCAACCACATGTTTTGTCTCCCTTTTTTGTTTTTTTCTTTATTTTGTATTATAGTTACTCAAATATAACCACAAAACATTGTCAAAATACAAGGTCAAAAAAAAATTGTACATATCTTTTAAACTTTGTAAATTTTGGTTGTTTTATTGGATGTGAATTTTGGGTTTTCTTATTTATGTCTCACGCAAAATAAAATATTTACCTTTCAAAATTTTGCAAAAATTAAATATCATCCACTTGGGGACATTGGTGTCCTGTCGTTTTCACTTCTCTCTAACGGAGGACTAAATAGAGTCATTGACACAATTTTAATTGTTGATTCGATTTTAATAAATTTTGAGTTGGTAGATAAGATTATAATACGTATAGATCTATTAGTATAAATAATATATATGCTCTAATTTTTGTACAATAGGAGTATTAATATTCTAAAAGTATAACAAAGAATATATATACATAAGTATCATTTACTATAGTGCGGGCTATATTTGTACTTTTTCTGTTAAAATAATAACACGAAGTATATGGTGAAGAAAAGACAGAAGATTCCATAATTAAATGAAATTAAAATGTTACGCCTAACTAGAAAAGACTAATGAACAACTAAAAAATTGAATTATAGAGAAATCTTATCTTTATTTTATTTATTAGAAGTACTTTTTTATAAAATCTTTTTTTATTATTTTATAAAGTAGCCTTTTTTATATATAAAAAAACAAACGGGTCCTATCGGAGTAAACATTCAAAGTGATTTGACAAGTTTATAAATATTTTTTGATTTATATACACATTTGATATGCATCAATAATGTTTATAAGTTAAAATTATACAAAAAGCATATTCACTCCCTATATATATTCTTTAATTAAATAGAAAATGTTGTCTAAGAGGTTAAATGTTGGAATATTTCTTTGCTCATTTCATAATAAAAAATTGTTTTCTCAAATTCTATTGATCATAAATTTGTCTTTTGCAATCTAAATATTTTCGTTAACAAATGGAGAAACGTATAAATTAAGTTAACTTTTCACGTTATATATTTAAAATTTGATATATTCAATATATTAAAAAAAAATCAAGTCCAAATCACAAATAATATTGAAACATGGGGAATATATATCTACTTTATAGTTATGGGTTCATCCGAATTTTCTTTGTCGAAAAATTATATTATTTATATATAGTTAAAATAATATTTTAGATAGATATAATAGATGTCGAACTCTCGTCGACTATTTTGCATATCTATCTTTTTAAATTTTAAAATTCTTTATTTAAAATTCTGATTTCGTCACGATATATATTATCCCTATCAAGTTATATATAGACAATAGCATGAAAAAGACATTGATCAAATGATAAGTTTTGTTACTACAACTTGCACAACCACAAATGACTCTCTTTCTCTCTCTCTCTCTCTATATATATATATATCCACACATGTTTCACATGTTAATCCTAGGTCTTATAAACTTTTTTCTTACATGCATTTAGTGGTGTTTACTCTTTTGACTTAAATGATTTGTTGGGATTATTATGTCAAATGAAAGATTTTGGCTATCTAAATATTTCAATTATTGTTTGCACTATATAAAGATTTTAACACTTCTAACACACGTGGAAAGTTATAATTGACTATATGAAACATAATACTAGTTTATTAATAAACCAAACCAAATACTATACGATTAATAAATAATTTCAGTATAACTAATCTCAATACTGTTACTAATAGATTTCAGCATTTGATAGTATCTATCAATCAACTCGTGAGTAGTAACGTGGGTTAAGCACAACATTGTTAGGCTAAATCGACTACACCTACTAACAAACAACCAACGTATATGATGTAATAGATAAGATCGATGATTCTTTGTAAAAATATTGGGTTCGAGTCATGAACATAAAAATTTCTTTTGATAGAGAGCACTTTTCTCTAAAACGATGCCCTACGTGATTCGAATCCAAATTAATCGAGCTTTAATATGAATACTAAACATCAAATAATAAAACCAAAAGTTAAAAAAAAAAAAAAACGTACTAACTCTACATTTCTGTTAACTTCTTTATGTTTCATTTTATTCTTCTTTGGACCAATTTACGTATCTATTTTTGGAGTTAATATAAAGAGTCAACGCCCCCAGAACAGAAAGAATAAACAGCGTACGTGAGTTCATTCAAAACGTCAAGTTCATGTTCAGGTTTGACTAAATTTAATATATTTTTATTCAAACAATACATTTATGATAGAAAACACATTAAATATGCATAATTATAAAACATAAATACAAATATTACGCTATGCGAAATTACTACTAAGAAAAATTAAAATTCTGATTCCGCTCGTATTACGGAAGACAGCCAAGAGTACCCACAGCTGTTGTTGGCCTGTTTTGAATTACAAGGTCTCAGCCTGTGGTTGGGGCCTAATTTATGGTCTATGTGACACCACTTTTTAAAAAGCTTATAGCCATCAAATATGACTCTAATTTTTTTATTTCTTTGTTGCATTATAGTGCTATTTTGTCCTAGGTATTCTCATCTCATTCAACATTTAAAGTCTATTTTGCATTTTTATCTAGAAGTTTATTTACATTTTTTCATGAAAAAGATTGTTGACATGACTTTTGTAGTTTCGAATTTCGCCTTATTGTATTATCAATAATTTAATTAATATATTTATAGTTTATTTTCGTGTTTGTGAGTGAAATTACAGATAGTAAAATTTGAATTCAGAAGTTTAAGTAAAATTTTGTAACTTCTAAATATTGAATAAAATATATCATTTTAAAATAAAATGGTATATACAAAATGTGATAAAATTTTGGCATATATATACACTTTTTTTCGAAAAAGATATATGAAGGTGTTTGGTATGGAAAAGCTATTTCCACGAAAATGAGTGACTTTTTTTTATGAATCTTATGATGTTTGATTAAGTGGTAAGTAAACAACAAATATTATTTTATATATATATATATATAAATCTAGTCAAGCGTTATACGGATGAAAAGGGAATAAGAATAGAATATATTGGAGGGTGGACGCGAAATAATCAATTAAAATGTTACTTATGAAATTAGTTTTTTTTTTATTGGAAACTTATTTTTGCTATATTTAAAGAATTTAAGTTTTCAAATAAAGTATTTTAAACTTTTTGACCAACTAATCGCCAGAAAATTTAAAATAGTTTTTGTTATTTCCCTTTCCTACCAAACACACCCGAAGAAGCAAGAAACTCTAACATGATATAAGGCATATGAGACGTAGCGTAAAAGATGAGAACAACTATAGGTTTAAGTCGTTCAGAATTTTAAGGGTTGAACTCAAAATAATTTGAATTAAGTTCAATTTCAACCTATTCAAACTTTAATCCGTTTTAGGAGAATCCTTAATTCAATGATCTCCAACTTCAACTCATTTTAAGACTCTTTATTTGCATTGATTAATGTATGTTCCTATATTGAATGTATGAATTACAGTCTATTTGATATCTTTTCGGATTATCTATTCATTTAAAACTTCTATTGTAGTGAATAAATTTAAATAAGAATATCTTAAAATTATAAAAATATACGCGATTAAGCAAATTTATACTACTGAATTAGTCATCATAGCTATATTTTGCTATAATTACCACTCACGACTAACAGTAATCATTAATTATGTCCGCTGACTTCAAGTTTGTACAATTCACCATATTTATATAATTTGCAACTAATAATTCTTCGTTTGACTAATATTTATATACGATAGTTTGCATTTGTATATGAAAATGATTCCTATTTTAAATCTTCAATTTCAACCCGACCTGCCCCTAGATTTATCTCATATGAAAAGGTATTATATCTTTGGCCTTAGAGAAAGTTCTTGTAATTGTTGTATGCTTACAATTGTAATTATCTCCAAAATAATTATATGAAATTTATACTTTTTGCTGGTGAGATACTTGTTGTCAAAGAGGAAGCAAAAAGAAGTGAAAATTGATCTAAAACCTCCACCGGGTTTTGGGCCTGTTGGGCCAACTAACGCATGCATGATCACTTGTTTATGCTATAGAAATATCTTACACATACATGTATGTATCAATATTGTATAAATAATATATAATGATATATTTTAAGAAAAAGTTATGTAAAATATCAGCTTATAAGATTTATTTACCATAATTATAAGCCCAATTTATAAAATTACCTAAAACTATGTAAAAGCTTTCACATATGCTTTCACCAAGTGGAGGATTAAAATAATAATCCACCTCAAGTTTAAATAATGATATATTTTAAGTGGTTAATCACGTGGAGTCAGAATTTTCAATAAGAGGTTCAAAATTAAAGAACTAAACACATGAATTAGTTGATGAGGTTCAATATCTACCACGTATACATAAAAAATATTTCTTACCATATATAAATAGTACTTCCTTTATTAAAAAAAGAATGATTCAGTTTCCTTTTTAGTCTATTTTTTTTTAAAAAAAAATACCTCCTTTCTTTTTTGACAATACTTTAATTTTATCTTTTCACGTGATATGTTTAAGGCGATAAAATTAAGTGCATGTTTGGATTGACTTATTTTATGTGCTTTTAAGCTAAAATAGCTTTTAAGCAGTTTTGAAGTGTTTGGGTAAAGTTAAAAAGTGCTTATAATTATTTTAAATCCAAAATAACAAAAATAAACCAAAAGTCATAAGTTTTCTAAATTTATGAGTCAATCCAAACAGGCCCTAAAAAACATTTTGGTATGTTCGACATAACTTGAATTCAAAATTACAAGATTAAAAAATTCTTATTTTTTTCTTAAACTCCGTTCTACATCCAAATAGACCATTCATTTTAAAACAGATAAAGTAACATTTTCCGTCAAGAGGATTTAGATGAACCCCTAACAATACGTCGGCTCTGCCCTAGAGCATGTATGAAAGCTTTTCCAAAATTGGAACAAACATTATATATTTAGTAAGAAACACTTTATAAAGTCTACTTTTTCTCAAAATGGAATAAATTTTAATTCGAGTGTCTAAATAAAATTAAACGGTTTCCATCACTCCACATCATCACCCCCATACAATTCTCGAATATTCCAAAGCAATATACTAAAAATACCAATTTCTTCTCTCTTTTTTTTTTCCTAAAATAAAATTTTCATATTCTTCAGTCTTCTCATATAAAT